TTTGATTGGATCATCATCAAATTTTGTCAGAATGTTTGTCTCAATGAAATACAGATCGAGTTCGAAGATGGGTTATCTCGGGTCAAAAACTAGGTCACAGGAGCTAAAAATAGAAAAAGCTTGTTAACACTCTAGAGGCTGCAGTTTTCATCCAAATATTCTGGAAATTTGTCAGGAAGGTTGTTTTTAATAATATCTAGGTCAAGTTTGAAGATGAGTCATCTCTGGTCAAAAACTAGGTCACAGGAGCTAAAAATAGAAAAAGCTTGTTAACACTCTAGTGGCTGCAGTTTTTATCCAAATATTCTGGAAATTTGTCAGGGAGGTTGTTTTGATGATATCTAGGTATAGTTCGAAGATGGGTCATCTCCGGTCAAAAACTAGGTCACAGGAGCTAAAAATAGAAAAAGCTTGTTAACACTCTGGTGGCTGCAGTTTTCATCCAAATATTCTGGAAATTTGTCAGGAAAGTTGCTTTGATGATTTCTAGGTCAAGTTTGAAGATGGGTCATCTTCGGTCAAAAACTAGGTCACAGGAGCTAAAAATAGAAAAAGCTTGTTAACACTCTAGTGGCTGCAGTTTTCATCCAAATATTCTGGAAATTTGTCAGGAAGGTTGTTTTGATGATATCTAGGTCAAGTTCGAAGATGGGTCATCTCCGGTCAAAAACTAGGTCACAGGAGCTAAAAATAGAAAAAGCTTGTTAACACTCTAGTGGCTAAATATTCTGGAAATTTGACAGGAAAATTGTTTTGATGATTTCTAGGTCAAGTTTGAAGATGGGTCATCTCCGGTTAAAAACTAGGTCACAGGAGCTAAAAATAGAAAAAGCTTGTTAACACTCTAGTGGCTGCAGTTTTCATCCAAACATTCTGGAAATTTGTCAGAAAGGTTGTTTTGATGATTTCTAGGTCAAGTTTGAAGATGGGTCATCTCAGGTCAAAAACTAGGTCACGGGAGCTAAAAATAGAAAAACTTGTTAACACTCTAGTGGCTGCAGTTTTCATCTAAATATTCTGGAAATTTGTCAAGAAGGTTGTTTTGATGATTTCTAGGTCAAGTACAAAGATGGGTTATTTCCGGTCAAAAACTAGGTCACAGGAGTTAAAAATAGAAAAAGCTTGTTAACACTCTAGTGGCTGCAGTATTGAGTCAAATATTCTGGAAATTTGTCAGGAAGGTTGTTTTGATGATTTCTGGGTCAAGTTCGAAGATGGGTCATGTTAGGTCAAAAACTAGGTCACAGGAGCTAAAAATAGAAAAAGCTTGTTTACACTCTAGTGGCTGCAGTTTTGATTCAAATTTCCTGGAAATTGGTCAGGAAGGTTGTTTTGATGATTTCTAGGTCAAGTGTGAATATGGGTCATGTCCGGTCAAAAATTAGGTCACATTGCCCAAATATGGAAAAATCTTTATAACACACTAGAGGTCACATGTTTGACTCAGTTGTCATCAAACTTGGCCATGATGCTTGTTTAAGACATTGCTTGGATGCGGTTGTGTCAGGTGAGCGATCCAGGGCCATCATGGCCCTCTTGTTTTTGATATACCAGTACATGATTGTATACTCTTTTATCCGCTTCTATCATTTATTAGAATGTCTGCAAATAGGTTCTCTTTCTTTGTATACTTTATACAGCGTAAGACAGTCCTGTGTCAATTTTCTTACAGTTCTAAGAACAATTTTGGAAAGACAGTGGTAGCGATACCATGTCCCTCTTGTTTAACATTGTTGCAACACTGGATTTTGTGTTTATGTTACTAATTGTTTTATTTGTTTTTGTTTATTTCAGATTAGATGACAGTTACTATGGATTAATGAACAGACACGGGTAAGTTTTTCTTAATTATTAAAAATTAATTATCTTGCTGCAATATTATAAAAATAGTCATGGGAACATGTAATGCTGTCAGTATACTGTTAGATCTCTGCTCATTTTTTAGCTTTTTTAATTTGAAGATAGATAGATATTTCATTTCTAATATACAAATGTACCATTATGTTTGTGTTGTTTGTAGGTTTTATGCACAACTTCACATCTCATTTACAGTTACATTTACTAATGAAGCTACTGTATTCTCTTGAAAATGTCAGTGTTAACTGGATTACAGGTCACTGTCCAAGACACATAACTCTAGCTTGGGTTTTTACTGAATAATTCTCTTTAATGAACTTAAAATTCCTACATATAATCATTTGTAATTAGTGGTAGACATGCAAGGAAGATATTTATTTGAATTTTCAGACTTCACAACTCGGGGTCTTATTCATTGACAAGAACTATAAGTCCATTGGATTATTTCCATTACTGAACTGAAAATACTCCTGTATGACCCTTGTTTTATTATAACTTAAGACACTGATAAAATATTTTGACATTGAAATACCTTTTTTCATTTCTTATGGACAGTTTGAATAGTTGAAAATTCAAAGGATGGAGGCATTAAAAATTTCTGCCTTGTTAAAAATTGAAGATCTTCCTGAAATTTGAACTTCAGTGTAAGGTAGCCTGACATTCAGGTTATTTGAAGAATGTTTGAAATTTTCAAAATGTTTATCCACATTAGAAATGTCACATTTTACCTAATATAATCCACTCACTGTTAAATATCTGATATGTTTTAAATGATCCCTCTATATTAATAGGGATATTGTTTAATTAATCAATGACTTTATTGATGTACGTGCTCAGTTAAAGTTGTAAGATTATAATTATCTGATCATATTTCCCTCCATTATTCTGCATGAGCCGATGATTCACGTAAAAAAGTTGACAATTATTTATAAGAACACTGGCCGGTAGAGATATTTAAATCAATCACATATTTAATGTCCTGGAAATATAATGCATGCATTGTTAATTGTTTGATATTGACCAAAAACATTGACATTTTTATGTAGAATGATTCTAAACATTAGATAGTGCAGAAACATTGTCTCATATGGCCAACTTATGTTTAAGTTAATGTCATGAGATAGGTAGCTTAGTGTATAAAATGGCTTTCAACCCAGCGGTGGTGGGTTCGAACCTACTAAAAAGGGTCATGATTCCTCAATAATAATGACACTTCTAGGAAACAGACTTGTCAGGGGTTCTAACAAACTTTTAAGTGCTTGAACTAAAGAATTAGTGTTAAATTTTTAACTTACTTATAATCTAGTTTCTTGTAACCTTAAGGTAGTCTTACTGTAATGCTTTCCCGCCAAAAAAATTTAACATCAGCTAATATCATAGCAAATTGGTTATTTCTGGAACGTTAATTTTTCAAAATCTTGGGTATTAGATTATTTACAATCACTCATCCATTATTGCTTTGTACTAAATTATAATTTCTAAACGGATAAAAATTATTGAATACCGAAGACTGTGAAAAATAATGTCCCAGAAATGGCCGATTTTTTACAATATTGACCGATGTTAGAAATTTGTTGGCGGGAAAGCATAACAGTAAGACTACCTTTAACTTTTATAGTGTTGGTGAACCCTACCTACGGGGATGGTGACCTGTTTGCTTTCAGGCGGGTATCATTGGGTTCGAGGCCTATTCCAGGTCACAATTAACTTTATGTTGGGTTCATATGACTAAGAAGTACTGGTAATTGCAGAAAGAACGAAAGTGATTAATATCGGACGTGCCAGAACTTGTCACATCAAACCTTAAATAAATGTGTTTTAACTAATATCACTGCTGGTAAAAATCAGTTTGACTTGAGTGTAACATTTCAGTGCCTGCTTTAAAAATTACTGCAGCACATTATATGACAACATTTTGCATTTTGTAAGGAATAGTTATACATTAAAACAGGACAACTTCATTACATCAATTCAGTAGGTAACCTTTAATTTTTACACAGGTTACAATACTGACTTTTAATTTCAGGTTAGAATTTTGTAAGTTGGATAATACTTGTACTCTTGGGATGAAAAATATCAATATTTTAAAGTGAATTGGTCTATAATGAAAAGTACATGCATGTAATATTGTAAATAAATTGTAATTATGGTGATAGTATTGACTCATACATGACAACAAACCAGGAAAATGATTGTTCATGAATATTGTTGGTAAGTGTGAGGTATATGATCTGATATTAATATATACAATGCACTAGCAGATAATGAATTGTTCTAGAACAAAATATATATTTTTTTAATCAAATAAACATTCATACTACATCACTTAGAACTCTATGGAGATCTTTTTTCAAGAAATATTTTATATTACTATTCATTATGATACATTTCTGTTGTTCTTATTAATATTTGAAACAGTTTCGGAAAATGTGCTCTTTGTAGACCAATCCACTTTAAAATGAGGAGATCATGGTTCAGCATTATATTGCATGCCTTGTTTGAAAGATGTCAATATAAGATTATGCACCATAAGATACATAGTCAATATACTGACTTTAACTTGTGCAGATGTTAACTTATGAAAATACAGGGTTTATCGGAGGAAAATACAAGTTTATATCATTAATGAGTACAGATTGATTGATATCTCAGATTTTCTCCATGGTATAGATTTTCATGTTGTAGTCAGGTGAAGGGAGTTACTGTTTGGATAACCTCTAACCAAGGTATATACAAACTCTTCTTTGTTTATGGTTTTATCAATCTTATTTTAAATATTGTTTAAGTCTCGGGATTTTTTTTTTTACTTCTACATAAAGATGTTGTTTTATGCTTTATCATAATATTAACACAGTGATAAGGGGTATTTATTTTTCTTTGTGGATGTGAGTTTTGTTGATAGAGTAACAGTTTTGTTGAAAGGGAGATGATTATCTTTGTGAAAGGTAGAGCTACAAACATGTATGCATCATGTAGCTGCAGAAGTATGGGGAGTTGAATCATTTGGATATGTGGAGGAAAAGTATTTGGTTAGTAGTATGACTAAAAATTATATTGATGTCTTTGGTTTTAGGGGTTTTTTTGTGTGATATAATTGTATCCATACAATGTTGACTACTGTATAATGGATTTGTCATTCTTTGAAATTTGGAACAGTTTGGCTTTTAGTAGAAGGACTTTCTTTACTGAATTAATGAAATTCAGCAAGTAAAATTAATTGTTAGAGAACCTGGTCAGACTTCACAGATGTGCAAGCTCAGGCCAGTGACAACACTTTCGGCAGTGACAAAAACATAACAATTTGCCACAAGCATTTTAAGGGTAAGCTTATACATGTATTTCTAGAAGTTGATCTGCAATGTTTTTCTTGAAAGTAATGTATCATATCTAATTGTGTCATTTCATAACAACTAGTAGCTTCTTTAAACATTTTTCATATATTGGTAGCATGGTGATGGTTCAAGTGTCAAAATTGATTGTACATTGTAAAAGTGTTTAGTTAAAAGGTGGGCGATGTTTATTTTGTATTGATGATATCAGTAATGTAAGCCTGTAACACTGTACTGTCTCTGTGTGTATGAGAAAATTACTGTATCTCATATTACTTAATCAGTCTTCATACATTGTTATATATTTATACTATAATATTATATTTTTCATCAGGCCATGAGGTTAGTACACATTTTTGTGAACTCTGTCAAATCTCTGGAGTTTCATTGGTCAGTGTATATCATGTGCTGGTTTCTGGCCAATCAGAAACCTTTGAACTAAGTTTCAGATTAACAATTTCCTTTATAACCTGGGAGACTGGTATCAAATTGATAGGTTATCAATGTTCAAGCTAAAATATTTTTTTCAAGGGCTGTAACTCTTCTTGGTTATAAAAGAGTACATTATACACAACTGTTAATAGGATTTTTAAGCAGGAGTGTAGAACTTCTAAATTGAGAATTTTGAAACCAATATGAAGTATTATGCCCTTGAGATTGGAATATACCACAATGCAGAATAAAATCAGGAAATGTAACAAAATGTTGTTTTAACAGATGTTAAAATAAAAACTTTGTATTCTTTCAAGTTTGTTTTAACTATAAATTTTCACCTGAAGTAGTTTATCCCCTTAAAAAAAATCTTTGTGTATAATTAAGATATACAGTTCATGTACATTGTACTTGTAAAATTCATGTCAACATATGATGTTACCATGTTAAATTACTTTATACCATAGTCACGAACAAATGCATGATGTCACATATATAGAACATATTTATTTCTAACCATATTGATATGGTTTAAGCAATATGATTATGTAATCTAAGAAATTGTATGTTATAAAACAGTTGGTTGTTAGCTTTGCATGTTTGTTTATCGTTATTGACCTCTCTGACTCATATGTTGTTGATTTGACATTTGTTTGTATGGTTAATGAAGTTATTTTTTTTTTTGTGTATCAAGAAGGTCATGCAATTATACTAGCATACCTATATATAAATTTTCTTCTTCTTTTTTTACTGAAAATTTCTAATTCAGGAGAGCAAGAAGATCAAAAAGTATTTTTGTTTTATTTAATTTGATTTAATTTGTGATTTTATTTTGAATTATTTCAGATGATTTTAGAGGAATAGTGCAGAAACAATGGGTGCTTGCTACTCAAAGTCTGGTCATGATGTTAACCCAGATGAAGAAAGAAGACCACAGGAAAGGAAGAAGGGTTCTCAGAAAAATGGCCATTCCGGATCATTTAAAAATAGTAGACTGGTTATAGACATTCCAATACAAAAAGATCTCAGTGACACAGTCTATACAGAGGATAGTCATGTGATTGTGAATGACTCAGCAAATTGTATAAATAAAAGTCAGCAGACCAGTCTGGATCATTTGACTAGAGATGCAAATAAAAATATAGAAAACCTGACTGGTTGTGACATTATAAAACAGAATGATCTGATTGTGATAGATGATCAACACGCCCAAGTAGAAAACGGTCCAATTATTATAGAAAATGCTCAAAAATCTTGTGGCGAAATTTTGAAACATTTAGATTCCAGAGGTGGGAAAGTCTCAACATCGGACAGCGGGATTGTTGTAGAAACTTGTAAAGGTTGTGAAAACACTGAACATGATAAAGATGCAAAAGATGAATATTCAGAAAGTTTCGAAAATCATTTGAATTCCTTAGACAATGAAACTGACACTGTTGAATGCAGTGGTACTCACACTGAACAAGAAGTAATTGTAAATAAAACATCTTGTAAATGTTCTAATTCCAAATCATATTCAGATTCTCATGGACACAGAAATTTAACAGACCATTCCAACACCTGTAGTGGCCATGGTGAGTGTCAAGGTCATTTATTTTCAGAAAGTTCAAGGCCTTTCCATGTTAACAAAAGTTCAGAAAGCTTAATTTTAAAATCTAGTTTGAAAAAAAATAACTGTAAGTCGAGACAGAAAAAGGGTTTATCCTGGAAATCGGCAGACAGCTTAGATGGGTTAGAAACCATCTCTATCAATTTGGGTAGAACGAAAAGTGTGTGCTCTTCTATTTTAGGTGATGATATAAGCTTATTAAATGCGCCTTTAGCTGCTTTTGATTCAATTGATTTTGCTTTAGGGAGTAGTTATGATTTTTCAAAACGCCTTGGTGAAAGTATGAAAAACCGCATAGATTTCTGTTCTGATACATTTCAATTTCAATTTGATTTTTCTGGATTAGAAGGAGAAAATAGAGAGTCAATAGCATCTATAGACAAGCTTAGTGAGTCGAACAAAACAAACGATTCGACGACGGATTTGGATAAAATCCGTCAAGCAATATCTCATAATTCATTTGGATTGGCAACTGAACAAAGGTAAGATGTATGCCTAGGTAAGAGTTTTGTTGTTCCCTGCTATATATAACTTTTAACATTGTAATTGCATTTTCCGTCTTTTTTTTTATTATTCTTTTGCAAGAGTTTTTAACATTTTAATAGCTTTTTCCGTCTTTTGTTTTTTGTATCATTTTGAAAGTGTTTTAACTTTGTTATGCATTTTTTCCTCTTTTGCTTTGTTATTTGATTTTGCAAGAGTTTTGTAACAGATTGTTTGTTTTCACTGTTTGGATGCTAATCTCCAATGGATATTTTCAGCCATTATTTGGGCCATTCTCTTCTCTAGAATGCATGTTGTTCTTTCCTCTACCCTTTACAACCTTCCAATTTATTTCTGCTAAAGTAGAACTTACCTATTCAGTATTTAATGATACAGTCTCAAAATAATGTTGCCTTGTACATACATGTATATTGAATGTTCATAGAAATATACATTTAATTATCAAAGTTATTACTTTTATTTATTCCCATATGGTTGAAATTCCAATCTGATTTTCCCTGCCTAATATGACACCAGTGATATGACACCAGATATATGACACCAAAAGTTCCCAGAGGCTGAAAATAATCATTGATTTCTGTAAATTTTGTTTACTTTGCATATGATTCAGTTTATAATTTTGATTGAATTCTATAATAATATATTACAATAAATTCTGAATTTTTGTAAATAAAATAGTGAAACATAAATTACAACTACTGTATTCTTTTAAAATTTGTTTTATTATTTATATTAATTTTGTTTCCCATAAATTGTTTTATTTTGTTTATTTAATAGTTATTTCTTATTATATTAGTGCTAGAGATTTTATTATTTAAATCAACCACTTTATGTGCAGGATTTGCATTTTACTAACATTTCTGAGCACTAAGTGTTCTTTAAGCGATACTACAAAAATTAACTAACTTTATAAGATGTTTTCGGAAGTTTTCATAATTATAGACATGAAGGCAAAATTAAATCTGTTCAACAGAATTTCTTTAAACTTGGCATTTGGTTAGAACATGATAACAGAAACATTTTAAGCAAAAATAATTTTGAGTGTCTCCATTTTTGTTTTTGAGTTATGTGCCCCTGAATTGGACTTTTTTGCTTAATTCAAGGGCAGATAATTCAAAATGAAATTAAACAATCTTTTTTCTCTCTTATTTTCATGTAGCTAAAAATACTTTTGTCTTGAGTCAATGTGAAAATTTTAACAACAAATTAAAGTGGATTGGCTTTTTCCTCTTCTAAACCTTTGCCTTTTTTCTTAAAAAATAGCATATTTTTAAGTCCCTTTATTCAAACTGAAGAATTGCATGGTGATCAACAATAAAAAGAAAAACATAACCCAGAAGTAAAAAACAAGATTTTTTTAGACATATATATAAGTTATATGCCCTTGAATGACCTCAAATAAGGTAATTATTCTGATTCAAGGGCAGATAACTGACAAGTGAGATTGGAGGCACATAACTGTTTTGACTTAAAATACATCTGTCATTATATTCTTTGTGTCAGAATGCTTAACTTTGATCAAGTGCAGTCCTGCTAGTGACTTGTCCACCATGTACATGTAGATAGATTATCAAGATACAAAAATAATGATTTAAAAGATTGCTTAATTTAAATGAAACTTAGACAGAATGCCGGGTTCAGTTAATCACATGTAAAATTTTGTTTGCTTAAGATAAAAATGCACATGAAACTTTTGTGGTTTGCATGAAAATTACTGCTTGTTTGCACTGTGGGATGCATGAGTTAGTGCTCTTTTACATTGCTTTAATACAGTCTTCACAGGTATTGCTTTCCTCAATGTTTTTTTCTGTCATTTTTAAGTTCAATTTTGCTGCATTTGATATACTTTTTAATTTTTCTGGTTTTATTATGGATTTAAAAATACACACTTAAATATTCATTTTTCAAACACATATTATATTAAGTTCGCAACACTTTGTATGAATAATTGAGAAATTGATTTACAAATTGACCTATTGTTTGGAAACAATTATTCTTTATTTATTTAACCATATCACTATAAAAGTTAGAAGCTGAAAAACATGAACAACCAACAAACTAAATTTTATGCAATTAATTTAAAGCACCTTTCATAATTGGTTAAGTTTGAAAATAAATCCAAAATTCTGTCACTGTTTAAATTAGTGCCAATCATTGATCAGTTTAAATTCTATTTTTAAACCCATAGCCTGCTGAATTTGTGTTAGAGACGTCCATGACCCAGTGGTTATGATTGTTGACTACTTGCCTGTCACCTCTGTTAGTTTGAATCAGAGACTTTGTATTCTTTTTTGAGGTAAGCTATCCTGCTAGCTTACAGCTTATAGTGGTTCTACTCAGGTGCCTGGACCCCCCTCCCCCCTAATAAAAAAAAATAAAAAATTGAAGAATTTGTGTAATTTTTTTTTCCTGTTTTGAATTTGGAACAGTCCATAATATGAAAGTTAAGGGATTTTGATATATAAGTTATGGGCATGGGTGGCCATGTGGATTCAAGGTTGTTGACTTCAAACCACTTGCCTCTCACTGCTGAAGGTTAGAGCCATGCAAGCGTCTTTGAATCCTTTAAGGGAGAAAGCATTATAAGTTACAGCTTTCTTATATAAATGGAAACAGTGGTGGTTCTACTCAGACTGCTTGATACTTGTGGAAAAGGATAATCACTTTTGGCACATCCAGGACATTGAAGGTTAAGAAACAATCAGTTATTGGTAAATTTTTAAATCTGTTTGTACATTATATTGAGTTTAGAAGGGGATTAAAGAGTTTCTACTGTATATGAAAAAATGAATTTTCTGTTGCTTAAACTCTCTGCTTCTTTTCATCTCATATACTAGGAGTTACAAACTTTCTTTTGCTTTTCCTCAGTGTATTTATTTGGAAGTATATAATTATATAAAAATTATATAGATAATGAAAAGAAGTAATGTAAAAAATATTCATCATACCTTTATGAATTAGATTAAAAATTAAATTGTAATAAATAGAATAAAAGAAATATTAAAAAAAAAATTAAATTTAAATAAATTCCTGTAATTGTAACTGATTGATATGATCAATTTGTATATTTCTATGATTAATCATTAACTGAGAAATAATTTTATAATTAATTTATGTGCTAGATTTCTTGTATTTGCTTGCATTAGAACTGTTTTTCTTGAAGCCTTTAAATGCTTGAAAGCCACACTGCAATGCCTTTACCACCAGTTTACAGTCAAGCCAGTCAGCACATAGGGACCAAATTACAACATTTCTTTCCCCTTGTGGCTGAGGGGTAACACCTTTAAGGGTTGTGGCATCAGAATTGCAGCCACTGTTTATCCCAGCGTGATCGCAAGAGGTGACTAAATGGGTTTTGAATTCCAGGCCCCGAGGTTATAAACATTTGAGATCGGTCTCCCAGCTCAGAAACGAGCTCCGTGCTCACCTTTGAGATCAAACTCAGGAAAGTTGAGATTATAAAAAAAATGAGTTTGAGTTCAGTCTCAAGTTGAGCTCAGAGTGTGAGATTAATAAAACCCTTCCTCAGAGTCTGAGCTCAGATTGAGATCAAAACAAATATGGCGGCCCATCTCCGCGTCCGTAGACTGAATATGCTTAGCAATCATTCTAATCGTGTTGTTCCAAGGGTATTTAAAGATCGTTCTAATCCCTTGGAAGATCTTTCTGAAGACGAGGTGTTTCGTAGATATCGTTTTCACCCCGATACGATTGTTTACATTCTTGTCATTGTTGCCGTCGTTATGCAGAAGAACCAAACGGAATTTTCCTGTGCCACCGTTGCTCCAGTTGCTGGTAACACTACGTTATTTAGCAACTGGGAGCATGCACTTGCTTATAGGTGATTCTGTTGGATTGTCAAGGTCGACAGTCGGGCGCATAGTGAGGCAAACGACTCGTCTTTTGTGTGCTTTAGCAGATAGCTTTCATTAAAGTTTCCGACTGGTCCAGATGCTCTCCTAGTGAAAAATTGGTTTCGCTGATGTTGCAGGTAATTATTGGTTTTTCCAACGTCGCCAAAAATAGACAAGCTTTTTTATTGGACATGTTCTGAAAATGACATCACAATGACATCACACCAAAAAATTGGGGCACATTATGGGAGAAAATATTCAACCGCCTACCTATACCTAAATTAATCAAATGAGTGTTTTTATTTCAATTATTAACAATAAACTGGATAATAAACAGACATAGTTAACACATGAAATTAAATTAAACGTGAATAAAATCGTAAAAATTTATACTAGATTTGTCATATTTTTTACATTGATAAAATATTACTTAAGATTTTGTAGCTCTTTCAAGTCTTTGGTTTAAATTGACCAATATATTGTAAACCTCATTTGGTTAGTTTTTCAGCCTAAAACTACTTGATTATTTACAAGTAGGCACACACAATATTATAACAACCAGGCTGATCTTTAAAAGGGACATATGTATATAAATTAATGCACCTGTAATCCACAAGGTGTACTTGCGCTCCATTTATAGTAACAATGTTATGTATTTATTGACATAAATAATTTGGCAGTTTCCTTGAATTATTTTATTTGATCCTAGCCATAACATGCAAACATAAAATTTGTGTTATTGTGATGTAGTTGCTAAAAGTTATTTCAATATGAATGCACTTTAAGTTGCAGCCTCCAGATGAGCCAAAATATTTAAAGAAATTCAATCTTTAGAAAATGTATCAAAATTACAGGGAAAGTAAAAAAAATCAATATTTAATCAATTATTTACATTTGATGGGCGGTTAATGACTGATTTTGCAGTATCAATCACTATAATTCTACTGCATTACTAACACAGTAAAAGGTATTTATATATAGGCTAATTTGACCTCTTTTTGGTACTTTACTTGGATAATATATGTGTAAATTACCTTCTTTGTTCACCTCACAATATTTTACTTTACATTTTCGAAAATTTCTTTCAGGTTTTCCAAATGTTCTGGGATGTATTGATGGAACAT